GCGGCCAGGGCCGGGCCGGGCGGCGGCGCCGGCCGAGGACAAGCGCTGGTCATCAGCGAGCCCGAGCACAGCAAGGAGCGCATCGTGAGAGCCGCCGGGGCCCGGGGGGAGGCTGCCCGGGGGCCAGCCCTCTTGGGTTGCAGGGTGTCCGAGACCCCTGGGTTGCAGGGTGCACAAGCCCCTTTGGGTTGCAGGGTGTCTGACACCCCTAGGTTGCAGGGTGCACAAGCCCCTTTGGGTTGCAGGGTGTCTGACACCCCTAGGTTGCAGGGTGCACAAGCCCCTTTGGGTTGCAGGGTGTCCGACACCCCTGGGTTGCAGGGTGCACAAGCCCCTTTGGGCACCTGAGCCCCTTTGGGTTGCAGGGTGTCCGACACCCCTGGGTTGCAGGGTGCACAAGCCCCTTTGGGCACCTGAGCCCCTTTGGGTTGCAGGGTGTCCGACACCCCTGGGTTGCAGGGTGCACAAGCCCCTTTGGGCACCTGAGCCCCTTTGGGTTGCAGGGTGTCCGAGACCTCTAGGTTGCAAAGTGCCCGAGCCCCTTGGGTTGCCAGAAGAAGGGTGGCTGACCTCCGGAGGGGTCTTGCCTTCCTCCCCTTCCCTTTGCTTTCTTTGCTTTTTCCTCTGTGCGCGCGCGCATGGGGCATTTTTGGCTTGGGCAGCGTTCGGCGCCCCCGTGGGGATGTGTAGGCATCAAGGAGGGCTGGCAGCGGTGGTGGCTTGAGGGTTGTTGGGGCTGTGGGGAAGAGAGGCGTTTGGGGATAGAAACGCCTCCTTGCAAAAAAACCCCCAAATTTATTGCCCCTTCCCCTATAAAATGTGGGGCCTCTAAAGTGTGGGGAGGTTTCCCGGCTTGCCCTCCCTTAAGGCCGCTACTGCTGGGAGGGTGGGATGGGAGGCCGATGGGCAAGGAGGATGGAGAGGATGGGAGGCCGCTTGTGTCTCTTGGAAGCATGTTAGCCAGCCCCTCGCTCCCCCAAAAGCAGCGGAGATGCCAACCCGAGCTGCCCCAGAGCTGCCCACCTGATGGGGTCTTGGCATGGAAATGCCCCCCCCCAGGGCTGCAGCTCCCGGCTGCAACTGGGGCTCGCTAGGCTGAATCCGGTTGCAGCCCCGAGCCTCTGGGCACCCCTGTCCTAAAAGAAGGGGTGCATGGCAGCAAGCCGGCGGGGCCCTCGGAGGAGGGAGCATCCTGGTCCTTTGGGGACAACCTTTTGCCTCCCAAAAGGAACCAAATGCGGGTCTCCGGAGTGGTGCAGGGAGCAGGTTTCTCTTGCAGACTCGGCCTCTTTATATAGAGAAATCTTTGCAGGCCAGCTGGGACTTCCCCCCCAGGCAGGACTACATTTGGCCGGGGGTTGCGGGGTGCCCGATCCTTTTACTACCCAGGTTAGCAGGAGTTGGCCTTCTAGCCCAGGATCTTCCCCGCCTCTCCGTTTTTGGAGGTTTGCCTTGCATTTGTCCCACTGCTACAGCAGGGGAAATAAATCTGGGGGGCGGCCGCCCCTTTGCTGTTTGCCCCCAGCTTGCCTGAGCACCTGGCGAGGAGCACACCTGAAAACCGATAACCTTGCCATGAAAGGGGGCCGTAGCCGTTTGCTCATAGATGGCACCTTAATTTTTACCCAGAAAGGATACCTGTTATTTTTATTTTAATAGCTGCAAGTTTTCAGCGCAGGTGCTCCGTAAACACAGGATGGAGCAGCCCTTTGGCACCCACAAAGTAGGCAGCGGTCTGCTTGATTTGCTGTCCCCGCTCCTGGGCTTTTGTGCGCCTGAGGGCAGTGCAGAAATGGGGAGAGCATCTCTCTGCCCTGCACAGAGCAGGGGGGCAAGCTCTGCCAGGCTTCCCCTGAGGGAGAGCTGGCCTGGGAGGTGGGGGGGGGGGGGTCCCTGCCAGGGCAGGGCTGGGGCTGTGCATTGTCTGAGGGGACTGGCGTTGCTCAGGGCTTTGAGGTTCCCGCCTTGTTTCTGGGAGCCCAGGGAGGGAAGAGGCAGGGGCAGGCGGCGCGCATGCGCAGTGCCGCCCCTTGGCCCCGGGACGTGGGGAAGCCCTGCTCCTCCTGCAGGGGTCAGGCCGGCAGGGCGCATGCGCGCCGCGTGCAAGGGAAGCCCGGCTGCCAGGGGGAGGCCCGTAGTGCGCATGCTCCGTGGGAGCTGGGGGAAGCCCAGCTGGTGGCATAGGGCAGGCTGCTGCAGAAGTGGGCATGCTGCTGGGCTCTCAATTAGCTTAGTCAATGCTCTTGCCTCTCCTACCCATGAGCAGAGAGGGGGTGTAGGAAGCATGCACTGGATTGCATCCCCCCCTCCAGCCAGGCTAGGACCAAGATCAAGGCAGTTGCATGGCTGAGATTGGGCTGATCTGCATTGCCAGGGGTGGGGATGAGCAGGCTGCAACCCTGCTTCCCCCCCGCAGAGAGCGTAGAAGCTGAGGTCCAGGTCTGCCCATGTCTGCTGCCGTTTGAGGGCTACACAGGCTCCACTTGCAGGGACCCAGGGCTGGAGACTTGAGTCCAGCAAGTGAGAGAGGTCCTAGGGAGCAGCAAGATGAAGGCTGATTTGAATAATGTGGATGCGGTTGCTTAGCTCTGCGATGCAAGCAACTGGGCAGTTCCTGTTTTAGTGACTGCAAAGGGGGTTTTTGGGTTTTTTTTGCATTTGAACTGAATCCTGCATCCCCTTGGGACCTTTATGGAAACAGGTCTGCCAAGAGGCAGTTAGCGGACTTTGAACAGAGGACTTGGTCGTGTCCCAGCTCTTAGCATCTCTGTGATGATGTTTCCCTACTTAGGGCCCCGATTTCAGCGACTGGCTTTGGAGCTAGGGGGGCGGGGGGCCAGCTGGATGCCCATTTTGTGGCCGTGCAGACAGGTCAGAAGGACTCGGTAGTGGCAGAAGCATGAGTGATGGCAAGATGAGTGGATTGGGTTTTGCTTGTTTTCTCTCTCTCATTTCTTTACTTCTCTCATTTCTTGGAGTCTCCAACCAGCAGAGACTCCCCATGCCTGGAGAAGGGTGACTGCTCCCAAAAGCTTGCCAAGGACTTTTCCCCAACTACTCAGTTGGTCTAATAAAGATCTCGCATCTACCCAAAGAGCCTCGCCTGCCTAGGAGTTTAAAAAGTATTTGTTTGCCTACTAGCTTTTTCCCCCCTCCTTGTCAAAGGGAGGCATGTAGCAGCCTGGGGGATTCGTACCTTGTTGCAGACGGCCGTAAATCTCCGATAGTCTTCTATAAGGAGATTTAAAACTGTCCCTGGTCTAAGCTGGTGAGGTTTCTGTTGAGACTGACAAGTTTGGAGAGCAGGGGCCTGGCATCTCCTGGTGCTTAGCACATCAGAAAGCCTGCCCTACAATGTCCACAGCTATTGCAAAGGCCAAGTTTTAATATTGAGTCCTTAAGTTGATTTTTTTTTATTATTATTATTTTTTTCCCCCAGTGCTAGCTGCAGTCTGACTTCATTCAGTCTAACTCGTAGATTAAGTCGGCTTTCCCTGTTTGCCTTGAGGATACGCGATAAGAAACTTGGAGCTTACAAACAGAGCTCAGAAAAATGCTTTGTTTTTCGTTCCTTTGAAGTAGAAGTTGCTTCTGCCGTGGCGTGGGTTGGACGGTTTTTGTTCCCCGCTGTACGGGACTTGGAAGGGGAGAGACCTCCCGTACTGACCTGCTTTGCCAGTAAGGTCCAAGTTCGGCTGTTACCTGCCCGTGTCGATGGTTGAGCTCTGCTCGCGTTGCTGAAACCTGCTGTAATGTTCCCCTCTTTTGACTCAAGTCACGTTGGTCACCTACTGGGAACGCACGCTTAATTGCACGTAGCACGCTTGCACGGTGCTTTGTGCACCGATTGCCGTCGGAGGGTTCCTAGACTCTGGGTTTACCAAGATCTACGACGGGAGACGGCTTTAAACCCTATTTATTGACTTCCACCTGTAGGTCTTCTTGATAGCTGATGGCAATACTATATTCCTTAATGGACAGATACCTTGAACCTTGTGCAAAAGATGCAGCCTCCTAAACGAGTCTGTTAAAAGGTTGAGCGTCAGCCTTTTGAGGATCCTCTTTCCCTTGAGACACAATTCCACAGTAATTTTAGCCTAGAAATCCCATTTTGCTGATTGAAGATGGTCCGGTAATTTTTTTTTTTTCTCCTTTCCTTCCATCCCATTTATCTTGCCTCAAATTACACGTTGGAGGGTGTAAGCAGGCAGCAAAGCTTCGAAGAAGGTACTTAACGATCGTGCAAGCTGACTTGGGGGTTAAATAGATCTACAGAGCGGTCTTTTACAACGACCAGGATAAACCACTTGCTTTCAGGGACGCTGGACTTTTTTTTTTTTTTTTCTCAATGAGTTGAATGTTTTTGTCTCCTTTGCCGCATTGATACACGCGCGCTATGAGTATTGTACAGCGTTGCGTTATCCTGCACGGCAAGGGAAGCGAACAGACCGAACGCTTGTGTCATCCCTGCTTTTATTAACTTTTAAAATGTCTGATCTGCTAAACCGGCATATCAGTTGGCTCAGAGAAGTCCCCCCCACGCCACGTCCACGGTCCTTGGAGAATTGCTAAACTCCAGACTGTATCTTGTGACTGATTTATACCTGAAGGAGAGCCAGTCGTACAAAAAAACCCCTCCGGGATGCCAGACTAAGCTGGTATTGTTATCCTGGCTTGTTTTCCTTTCCACAAAGAAATCCTCGAAGAATGTTTCAATAAATCTCCAGGATCTTTATCATAATGCCGCCGGCTGCAGTTAGTACCACATCTTATATTAAAAATGTGCAGACAGGACTCTTATAGCCCTGCTTCGAAGGTATCTGCCACGAGTCCTCTGGCGTGTCTGGAATCGAGCATCTCTCTGACAAAATGCTGGGTGACATCATTGCTATATGTGGTCCTTGCGTCCGTCGACTGAAATGGCTCATCCTATGGGAAGCAGCTGGCAGAAAGTGGCAAGCGTGTGTGTTGCTCCGTTTGCTGATCCTTTAGATGAAACGTGACCTGGTAGGAGCAAAACCAGTTGCACCAGTAGAGATGCTTACCTCCATAAGTGTTTTCTGTTGCTTAAGACAACTGCTTGGACAGAACAAGAGGTGCAGCATAGGTGGTGGTTGGTGCTACAAGAAACAAAAAGTTTGACCCAGGAGGTAAAGGAACGGAGGAATCCGGGCTTGGCCTTAAGTAATCGGAGCACGAAAGTCTCGGCTTTCTAATCTCTCTGGGAAGGCCTCTTTAAATATATTAAGTGGAGTTTAAGCAGGTTTCTTATCAGATTCTCGGGCCGTTTCTCTTCCCTTTCTTTTCATCCTAACCACAACGTCTGCCTACAGCAAACTCTTCCCCCACCAAAGTGCAACCGTTACAGTCTCTGGGTTGTTGGTAGGACCTGGACTAGTAGCTTTGAACTGCGTGCTTGGGAGCAAACCAAATAAAAATGCAATTCTCTAGGCCTTGTAAAATTTAAATTAAAATGAACCAGCTGTAGTTTGAAGCAACCTCTGTGCTAGGTTGGGGTTTTTTTGGTCACTTAAAGATGAGAATGGCTTCCTCTTGGGGTCTTTTTTTCCACCCCTATCTTTGCCTGTAAACACAGCTGGGTTTAAGGAGTTCAGTATCCAAGTTGCATTGTGCTGCGAGTGTAGCTGAGTGTCTAAATCCCTTGGGGTTGTTTAAAAATCCCAACCATGTGCTTTAGTGAAAGCTTTAGCGTTTGTATCCCCAGTCCTCTGGGTGTTAAACCTCCTTAGCACAGATGAGTTCAGCTCTCAGTGGTAGCACCTACATGTCTGTGACCTGCACGTGGGTAGCTTTGCGTGGAGGAGAGTGCTGGTTTTGCCTCGAGTTCTCCATCTCATGTAACTTCGGAGCCACACGCTCGGGACATAAGAGCTGCATCTTTCGAGGGCGCTGAGCACGTGCATCTTCCACTGATGTCGGCTGGAACCGGGTGCATCCGCCAGCGAGCAAATCGGGCTCGTCATTTCACAGCCGATGAAGCTATTAATATCTGAACGTTTAGATCTGAGAATCTCTGATCGCCGTGTGCACGACTGGTTGAGAATAAGTGACTCTGTTTAAAAAAAAATATGGTTTCCATGCCTATGGCTGGCAGGAATTGGGGCATTGGCACCGTGTTTATTGGGCAATGCTGGAGCGGCCGTGAGTGCCGAATGGATAGTGGTCATCGGTGGAAAGCCGTGCTTTGGCAGGGGAAGAGGTTGTGGGTGGCGGGAGAAGTCTCCTGGCCAGGTGGAAGGTTTGAACACGGTGCAGGCTAAGCCCTGATGTCTTTAGCACTGAGCTTAAGCAGCAATAAGATAGGGCTACCCCTTTCCTTTTATGTATATCCAGAGGCCAATTTGATATGAAGTATCCCCTCTGAGTGCTCGTGACTCCAATCTGCAAATACTGGTACAAGCAGGGAGGCTTTGTAAAACAGGCTTGCCTGGTACTGATTTTATTTTCAGCAGATTTCCAAAAGAAAAATCAGAGTTTGAGCAATAAATAATTGACTTAACTGCTGGGTTGCAAGCAACAGTGGTGTTAAATGCAATGCATCCCTCCATGGTTACCTCTAAATGAGCAGGAGCCCTATTAACAGCCTCTCTCGGTCCATGCCATCCTCCTCTCCCTGCGAGTACGGGTGGCTGCACATCTGTCGCCATCCCCGTTTCCCTCTCCTGCCTTCGGAGCTGATGCGTTTCTTTTGCACTTTGCAGAAACTCGAAGGGTCCAAGTGCAAGGGGCAGCTTTTGATATTTGGAGCAACCAACTGGGACCTGATTGGCCGTAAAGAAGTGCCTAAGCAGCAAGGTAGGAGACACTAAGTCGTGGACATGTTTGGACTACGGAGGATAAAATGCTAGTATTACTATTGAAGGTGTGGTGCCCATCTTTACGGTCGCTTCCTCTGTACCAGTAGCATTTAGTCTCTCTCAAAGTCTTTTCCCTAGGGGAGATGTGTAAGCCTCCAGAATGGACCGTGAAGTCTTCAATCAACCTTTTGCTGATTAGTCAAGTGACCTGCAAAGGCATTAAACTAGAAAACCTGTTGCCAGGAGGAGAATCGGGGTGTTGTCTAAGCTAGCATCTGACTGAGATCTGTGTGCTGATATGGGGGTTTTTAAGAGCAAGTTAGGCGAACACTTGGCTGGGGTGGGGTGGGGTGGGGTGGCTTAGTCGGGGATGAGCTTGCCTTGAGCAACGGGGCTGGACTGAATGATGCAAGGGCCCGTCCAACCCAGCTTTTCTGTGCTTCTGCAGCTCCATGAAGCCATTAAATTAATAAGTAATAGGAAAAACCTTTTTCACTAGGAGGGTGGTGAAGCACTGGAACGGGTCACCCAGAGCGGTGGTGGACTTTCCATCCTTGGAGGTTTTTAAGGCCTGGCTAGACAAACCCTTGGCTGGGATGATGTAGCTGGGGATGGTCCTGAGCAAGGGATTGGACTAGATGTGACCTGAGGTCCTTCCCAACCCAAATTTTCTGTGATTAACTGCCATGAGCCAACAGCGTCCCAGCATTGCTCACGTGAAATCGGGTGCCATCCACAGCAGTTTCCACTTCATCTCGCACGGTGGTCCTTGTAGGGGGCTCGCTCAGAGGGAAGTTTGCTACCAATGTCCCTTCCTTGGAGATCTCCTGATTTGGCTTTGATACGGTCCAGCCAAGGTTCGCAGCCCGAGATAAAAAGGCTGTTGCTTGTGTGGGGCAAGATGATGCTCTGGGTTGTTTCATGTTTTGAGTGGCTAGTAATTAATGCTGCTGAGGTTCAGGTTCAAAGGCAAAGTTCAGAGAATACAGACCCAGTTTAATGCATGTTCCCTCCTTGTGCGCTCCACACCAGCATGCCCTTGGGTTTTTTTCCGCCTTTTCCAGGATAGTATTGCTGCATAGAAACCTGGTCCAGGACAGAGGGGTGCATTCATACCACGTAGTTAGGAAAGGGGTGTTTCTGTTGCACGTGTGTGTCTTCCAATTTCTTCAGTGAAGCTTTTCTTGGCAGCAAGTTTGCCTGAACTCGGTACTGGATGTATATTGCGGGGTCTTTTATAAAGTTGATAAATATGCAGGCGTTACAGCCGAGTCTGCAAAACTTTCAGCAGTTCAAGATCTCTACAGTCACAGCCCTCTCCTGTTATCCAAGGAGTGCTTTGAAGCAAACTGTACCCCATGTCCACTCTTTGCAGAGCACTTCTACGATAATTAATTGTTAGATCGTCTTGAGGGTGTAAAACCTGTTGTCTCATTGCCTGAAGATATTGCTTTCTAGGTGTCTGTATTTGCACGGCTTCTATATAAAGAGACCAGAGCGTAGCAAATCATTGACCCCATTTGGTTTCTCCATTTAACTTTTGCCGTGTGCGTTGCACACGCCTCTAGGAAAGCCGTACAAGTGATCACCTAGAACTTAATCTATATATTTCATTGCTGCCTATTGAGCTGGTATAGTTGTAGGAGAAGAGAAATGCTCTTCAATGCTTCCAAACAGCAAGCAGATTAAATGGGACTAAGTTTTAACTATCCTAATTTTTGACTACCCAGAACAAAGTTTGTAATATTTTAGCAACCAAAATGTTTTACGCTGGGGGGGGGGGAAAAGTGTTCTTTCTTAAATGCACCAAGTACTCCACTATGTAATCTAGTAGATGGAGAGGAGGCCACATTTTCTCTGAAAAGGAGGGCTGTAGGTCCAATATTCCTACGGATGACCTAATTTTCACAGTTGTTTAGCCCCCCCATGCCAGCTTGGAGGCTGCGTGTTACCAAAATATGTCCTTCAAAGCCTTGCTGTGGCGTTCTGTTGCTGGATCACGTGAAAATAGTCACCCCCTCCGCCAGCCTTGACAACCTCTCTGTTATCATGAGGTTCCTCCTTATCTGAATCCATACAGTGCTCCCTTTGTTCCATCTCTGCTTAAAAGACAAGCTGCACCTATTGTGTTCAGCCCAGTCATCTACAAGTTTACAAAGGAAAGAGGCATTTCTGGTGGTGGAAAGTGTAAAACGGTTGAGAAAGGGAGGGTTTTCTTCCAAAAGTGGAACAACATTTCTAATCCTTGGGGTGAAGACTGGCCTGATCAGATCAGGGGAAGTTTGGGCTAATGGGTAGGACTTGATTTTTCCGTCTTGGAAGACCTTGGGTGCAGGCAGCGTCTGCTCTGCCACAGACTTCCTGTTGGGCCATGGGCAAATCACTCGGTCTCTTAGTGGTGTTCTCCCCATATCACAGATGCGGAGACTAAGGCACAGGCTCGCAACTTTTTTGAGAACAAATCCTTTGGAGATTTTGAGGTGCTGAAACGCTCTGGTAACAGGGGCCGTATAAGTACTACCCATAGCTGCATACTGATGAAATGTGGTGACATTTGATAGGAGGCAGAGCCCGGAGGATTAGCCCTTCCAATAATGGCTTGGACAGTGCAAGCTCTGTTTCAAAAAATGGACTGTTTAACCTAACGTTGAACCAGGCTGCGACTGTTTTACGGTCTTTATAGAGTGGGGATCGACCTCTAACAATAGGTTACGTGACAACGCCGTTGAGCAAGGTGACTGCTTTGAATAGGCTCAAGACCATTAATCGCAGCTAAAAGCCTATATATAATGTGCCTTGTCTCACCGCTGATTCCTGAAGACCCGTGCGGCTTACATTATGGATTTGGAGCATTGAATTGAGTTAAACCAGTGACTCTGCCCTTTTGTACTATGGGAGAGGCTCCAGCCATGATTGCAGCCCCCTTTTTGCTGGGCATAAAGACACCTAATTGGAGACATGTCTGTCCTGGAGAGCTGTGATCTCAACAGAGGAGAGAAACGGAGGCACTAAGAAGTGAGGTGACACTTGAGGGCTGTAGCCAGTACTTGGCCTTGCCTGTCTCGGCACGGTTGCCTCCATTTCAGTGAGGACAGTTCATGCTGGAATAGGCAGAAACATCTGCATTTCAAACCATACCAGGAGAGCATTAAAAACCACAGATCGGCTCCGTCCTGGCAGCAGTGCTAGTAACCCGAGCAGCAACAACGCCCCTCTTAACTTCTCTAAAATAGATGAGTGCTGCCTGATTTCTGATGGGGGAGAGAAGCATGCCCCCACCTTGGCATGTCTCTCTCCTGACCCTGCCCATTGCTCCATGTGTCTAGCTGCACCATCCCATGGGTAAATGATGCCTTCCCATAATTAACCTTTTTCTTTCATAAAAAAAAGTGCTTGCCTCGGCAATCTGTCAGGCATTCAATATTTGCAGTTTAAAACAAGCAGACTGCAACAGTGGCAGCTGCCAGTGATTCAAAGGACCACCTTCTAGGAAAACCCCTTAGGGGGTTGTCTGTGTTGCAGAGTTTGCATGCTAAGGAAGCCCCATTTTTATTTATTTTTTTTTAAAAAAGCAAGTTCGGAGGAACTCGAGCTCTCTCCTGGTTCTCTCTCAACTAACGAGATAATTCTCCCAACACCTTTATGATGCGGTGAAGCATTAAACGCGCAGAATCCAAGATCAGCACTTAATCTAAATCATATGGCTTCATCACCGGCTATGGTGCCTACACGTGGCAGACCCCCAGGTCCCTGCCCGGAAGGACTTGCCTCCCAAAATCCTGATGGAAGGTAACTAGAACAAATCGGATTTTAATACATGGAGTAGCATGCATCTGTCACCAGGCTGGCGGTAGGGAGAGTCAAGTGGAAGCACCTGTTCATGCTCATTGCAATCTGCAGGACTTCCTTGAGCCTTTGCAGGACCAGACCCTCCATCCCTCTATGCCTGTGTGCTTGTCCGGGCACATAAACTCGGACGATGTTTGAGATCGCAACTGGGTGCGGTGAAGCTAAACTTGCCAATAATTCTGCATGTCGTCTGAAGCCCCTGGGTGGAGGCACTGCCTTATAGTCCCATTGTACATAAGGGGCCAAAAGAGGCGTGATGGATTGAGTGACTCTCCTTAAGTCAATTAGCAGGTCACAATTTTAGAGCCTCGCTACAGGGCTGTGATCAAAGCCACTTAAGTAGGATGCAGGTAATTGCAAGAGTGCCTCTAATGGGAATCTCTGTGAGGCTATTCTTCCTCTCTGTAAATGAAGTGAATGCTTCATCACTTTGTCAGGGTGCCTGTAATTGCTGCGACCGCTTTGTTGGGTAGGGTCTCACTTTTTTTTTTTTTTTTGTCTAATTAAGCTGTCAATAGCAATCAGAGGTGTTAACGTGACTCCTGAATGTCACCTTTCTCCTGCAGCTCTTTCTCTCCACCTGTCTCATGTTGACAGCCAAGGAAAATCCCGTCTGGCCTCCTGTATCCATCTGAGTTTTCGGAGGCTGGGGGTGAACCATGGAAGCTGCATTGGCTTTATACAGTTACAAGTACATGAAATACAACCCGGCATTGCTGAATGAAGCAAGTTGCCTGAAAAGTGATGACGACCCCAAGTTTTGGATGGTCCGGGCTAATGCAGACAAAGCTAGGTCACCAGCGATAGACCTGCTAAACAGTTGATGCAAAACATCATTTGAAGTGATGATCTTAATGAATGTATTGCTGCCTCTTGTGGGTTTTTTTTTTTTTTTTATTAAAACCGTCTGTTCTCTTTGCAGCTGCTTACCGTAATCTGGGCCAGAACCTGTGGGGGCCGCACAGGTATGGGTGCCTCTCAGGGATTCAGGTACGGACCGTGGTTTCGGGACCATGCGCAGCTCACAGCCTCCTCATCACCACAGAGGGCAAGCTGTGGAGCTGGGGTGAGTAGCTGGCACGAGCGAGGCTTTTTAAGTCTCTGCCGGGATGTGAATTAGCTCAAGACGCCGGGTAGCGAGGACAAGGAGCTCAGTGGGCTCCTGCCTGGCTCTGCATTAGAGCACGGTCCTAAGGCGATAGGTTTTCACAGAAGTGATGAAAACGTAAATCATTGCAAATTAGTTCCCAGCACGCTATATGGCTTTTGCCCTAGTTCTGACGGGACGCATGGAACTAATTTGTACGTCCCCACGCCAAGTCAGCTAATCTCTTTTGATTTCTCTTAGGAGAACCATATGTAGCGTGGGGTCCCAGGAGCTGAAACAGAGCTGGGTAGGGTGGATTGGGTCTGTCGCAAAGACGTTTCGATGCTTCCCGTTATAGGCTGTGAATCGGACGGATTATCGTTCTGATGCTACGCCAGTGTTTCTCACCCTCTTCCATATTGTGGCTCTCGTGTTACAGCTGAAAAGTTTCAGGGCCATTCTCATTTACTGGAGGATAAAAGACACTCGCGGCCCTCTGGAGCTGTTCCAGTCCCCAATGGTGGTACCCATGCAGTAGTTACCATCAACCTGCAAAAGTGGTTCCTGGAAGGAACAAATCTTGTATCTCAGCGTTATAGGGAAAGCAGTGGGGGAAATGAAGGGGTTTCACAGCCTCTGCAGCAGTTTCTTCCTTTTTCGATCGGAGGGCATCACCTGTTTACCCGTGGTACGTGTGTGTGTCTGTGCTTCTCTGTAGGGCGTAATGAGAAAGGGCAGCTGGGACACGGAGATACCAAGAGAGTGGATGCTCCCAAACTCATCGAAGTTCTCAGCAGCGAGGTGATTGTGTTGGCAGCTTGTGGACGAAACCACACGCTCGCTCTGACGGGTATGGAAGATGCTTGGAAAGAGAAACGGGTGTTTGAACGATTGCTTTCTCCCTTGCAGAGTTGGGCAGGGAACCAGCGCATCAGAGATCCTGCTTCTAGCTGGGGAAAGACGGGGCTTTAATCTACCGCTGGGGTCGCATGGAGCGTTTCTTTTGGCGACAAATCCTGGCCTCGCTGAAGTCCGTGGGAGTTTTGTCTCAAGGGGGTCAAAATTTCACCCCGACTCTCTTTGAGGCTAAGAACAACTGATATTTTGCCCCTGGAGGGTGGAGAATGCCTTGGCTTTTTTAAGATGTGCTTGGACGGGCATTGATTCGAAGGGAGTCCTTGACCAAAGGTGAAAAGGGAAATCTTCAAGGAAATGTGTGCCACCCGTGAGTCCCCTCTCTTCCACCACTTCTGCAGCACTCGTGACTGGCACAGAGAGGATCATGTTGGCTATTGTGTTTAGAGAGTCAGAAATGGCCACCATGGTCACTTCTTGAGACCGTGTCTTGGATAGCTATGCCACAAAATGTTGATTATGCCACCAGTTTGCTAATTGCTTTTTCTGCCATGGTCACTTCCTCCCGAACTGTTCGACGTGGGGAGTGTTAAAACTCTTATTTGCAATAGACTTTTTTTCTTGTGTCCTGGTGTATTAGAACAAGCATCTCTACCCTGTGTTAATGATTTTTTTTTTTTCCCCAGCACCTCTGTAATAAGTGAGCTGTAGCCTTTTCCCTTCTTCACTCCCTCTTCCGTTGTGTTCCAGAGACTGGCTCGGTATTTGCATTTGGAGAGAACAAGATGGGACAGCTTGGCCTTGGTAACCAGACAGATGCAGTTCCCAGCCCCACTCAGGTAATTGTGACCCTTTCCCATGAGCTTCCTCTTGCAAAAAGGGCAGAGAGACATTTATTTAGCTACTGCACAAGTCGCCATATCCAGCATAACCGTATTAAAGCCAAGCTCAGGATGAGATGCTTTGTATGGTGGAAAGCAACTGTGGTCCTTGTTGGTCAAGCCAGGACTGTCCCAGTTCAGCGGATACTTTGATCCCCATTATAGCATCATATTGTGGGTCTTCACAAGCCCTTGGGCAGGTTCTTCAATTCCCATAGCTCAGAGTCAAAAACAAGGGCTAAAGCAGTTGGTTGTCATCTGAACCATTTCTGTTGGTTTTCTGCTGACAAAACGGATAAGGGGTTCCCAATGCCAGCCTGGATATCAAATAAAATTGACCTCGGCTTTAAAGTCAGCGTTTAGCATTTGGTTCCCTTATAGGCTCATGTTGGAAACAACAGGAGCAGTGGGGTAGTACAAGATTTCCTCGGCGCCTGAAGCAGACAGAGGGAAGGAGGGGAAGTGGAAGTTTGTCCTGGGAGAAGTCTTAGCTTCTCTCTTCATCTCCTTCCTTTATGTATTTTTTGGTTTCTTTATTGAATTGACTATTTCTTCTTTTTTTTTTTTTTCTTTTGTTCCCCGATCTTAGGGCATATTAAGATAGGGAATTTTTCAGCTAGGCTCACAGAGTTATGCTTGCCAGACTGCTGCTGTGTGTGTGCAAATAGTGCTCAACAGAGACACCCGTGCACAATTAGGCACACGTTTCTCACACAACAGCCACTCCCTCTCTGGCCTTACACTCCTCGTGCTCCGGGGAAATCTATCTAATGCCTCTAAAAAGTGAAGTTGGGAACAAAAATTCATAAGCTAGAAACCAAGGACTGACACGGATATTGGTTTTATGGCTCATTATAAACCTCCCTGATCCCTGAATTCTCCCCACACGTGAAAGGTGAGAAAAGACCTTTCTCCCTTTTCACAGGCCCTGATTTCCCAGTAACCAGGTTCTTGTCTGCTAATTGGTGGTGTGTTACCCCTGGGGATTTCTCTCCCCACCCTCTTCTAGCGGTTTTTTACTGTGCTGTGTTGGCTCTCGCTGCTTAGAGCTGAAGGGTGCCTTGCATTTGAAAGGTTGTCTGACTATTCCAATTGTAGGGTTGGTCCGATAAAAGCTAACCCCTGAAGAAATCCTTGCTCTTGCATAAAACATCCAGGTTATTTCGTAGGCGGTAGGGGATTTACATGTGCATAGCTAAAAGCAGCTGTGTTCCCTGTGAAAGCCTAGCCATGCATTTGCCCTGTGAGCTGGGCAGTGTTCCCCGGCTGTCTGGAATCGCACAAGAGTCGCTCTGTTTCATCCTCTATTTTCAAATGCTGCTCTTGTCTCCTTCCCTTGCAGATAATGTACAACGGGCAGCCAATTACCAAAATGGCCTGTGGGGCTGAATTCAGCATGATAATGGACTGCAAAGGAAACCTCTATTCCTTTGGGTGCCCTGAATATGGACAGCTGGGTATGGTGGTATATTTTTAAAGGTCTATGTAGTTTTAATATGACAGCAGGCTTTCAATCCAGCCCGAGGCTGCGACCAGGTTCATCGTAGACTGGTGCATTGGTGTAATCAAGGCTATAATGGTAATATGCATCTTATCTCCATCCCCTTCCAGGAGGGGAAGATGGTCTGATGTTAAAAGCGCAGGAATCTGGCTTCAAAACTCTGCTTTGTTGCGTGAGCTGCAGGGGAGGCTGTGCCTCAGTTTCTCCCTCTGCGGCTTGTGAGTGCTTCCTCGGCGATGCACTGTATCAGTGGCCGTGAAGTGCTCTGGGGGGGTGTTTTTTGAGCTGAAAGGGGCAGAGAAATCCAACACTATAGCAATAAAATGGAAGGGAAAGCCGCTGTCCCTTGAGTGTCCATAAACACTCGGCATTTTGAATGCTAGAATGCGTAATACGCTGCCTGCCGGTTTTCTGTGGCTCTGACAATGATGCGCCACTGTGAATCCCGGCAGTGCCTTGAATTATTCATGAATGGCACTTTGTCTCGGAGGTTAATGTCTCGTGGCTGTGATCTCTGGAACGGGGAGTGCCCGCGCTTTGCTGCCACGGAGGCTTTTTTGCACAGGCTGAGCCGCTGCTGGGGTATCTGCGTGCTTGGAGGGGGGCGAAGGAGGGCAGGGAGCCGGCCTGGCAGGTCCGTGTCGGGAAGCGCAGCTTGCATGGGTCAGACTGCAGGCTGTCTTTTAGGGAGAGTGGGCCGAAAAAGGGTGAAATACTTTTGCCAGGAAAAGGTATTACAAAAATATTGTTTTCCTTGCAAAAGAGTGAAAGGAGTAGGGGCGGGGGATCTCCAGAACGGCACATAAGGAGGATCCTTCCTTTGCACTTCCCCTTTAGTTAGAATAGCATCTCTGCAGGCTGGGACTGTCCTTCTGTTCGGTATTTAAACAGCGCCCAGTACAATGGGACTGCAGTTTGTGAATGGAGATCTCTGGCCATTGGCACTACCGCGCTCTATGAAAGATGGCACTGGTTGCGTGTGACAAGTATAGCAAGCTTTGCTCTTCAGGAGGGGTATACGCTCTGACTCGGACAAGCTTACTGATTTGGGATGGGGATGGTCATCACTTGCGTGCTGTGCCAGGGTTATTCGTTCCACTCAGAATCGCATCTCCTTTTAGCATCCTATCTGTTTCCCCTGTTGCAGGACACAACTCCGACGGGAAGTTCATTGCCCGCGCTCAGAGGATAGAGTACGACTGCGAGCTGGTGCCGCGGCGCGTCGCCATCTTCATTGAGAAGACAAAAGACGGGCAGATCCTTCCTGTCCCCAACGTGGTCGTGCGAGATGTAGCTTGTGGCGCCAACCACACAGTAAGGATGAGATTCACTCTGTAGCACGGGTGGGGGATCTACCCGTCGTCCTGGCCAGTGGTAGCCCTCGAGCACCTGCTGGGTCTTGACTTGATGAGCTCCCTCTCGACTTGCTATGTAGTTAAACTGTCCTGAGTGGCTGGCAGTCAAGTGGCCTTTTTCACAAATGAGATGTTACTCGTGCTGGATTCTCGTTGGTGACAGAGCCACGCTGAAAGTTCTTCTCTGGTCCCAGGTATCCAGGTTGTAGCATATTGGTCTAGATGAAAAAGCAATCGGGACTCTTAGTAGAGAGATTTTTTTATTAGACCAGCAACATTTTTGCAAAAAAAATCTTTCGTTGCAAGCTTTTGGGTACAAACACCCTTCATCAGGCATTGGAGAAAAGATTGTAAAAGTTCTGGGTAGAAATGAAAGTTCATATTTCATAGGATTTTGCAGAGGAGTCAAGGGATGGAAAACTCCTCTGGGCAGTCCGTTCATAGCTGGTATGAAGTCTCAGCTCCTGTGAGGATCTGTGATGATGCAAATTACCTTGAAACCAAGGCAGGGGCAGTGTCTCAGGTTGTCACAGTTGCTTCCTGCTCTCTGGTTGCAGGAGTTCAAGGGGGACAAAATTTCAGTTTGTCCCCAACTCTAAAAAGAAGTAAAATGAGATCCATTTAAAACCCTTTTATCCCTTATTTCCATCAGCCTAGACAAAAAGTCCCTCCACTCTAGCCAGTCATCGCACAAGGCTGTACACTGTTTGAAAGCCTGGAGAACATATTGCAGAGGGTTGAGCCTAAGACTTGTGATGCCCATTGAAACTTTCCAAGGGACAATTGCATTCAGCAACTGTTTTTTTTTATTTGTTTCAGACTTGGGTAGTTCATTTGTCAGCAGGCTGGGGCAAGTCGCAGATCATCAGCTGCCGCAGGCCTGCGATAGCTGCAGCCATGTTCATCTTCTGTATCTCTCTGCTGTGCTTAGGTGTCGCATCCAGTGTGTGTGTGATCACATTGGGACTCTTTATTTGCACTGGGTGTGTCTTAATCCCATAGGATTAAACCATTAATGTGAAGGTTTTGAAATGCATCATTATGGATGCAAGCAAAACCCTTCACTCCAAGATGACTGACCCTACAGGCAGGAGCAGCGGGGATTATAAAGCACATCATGGAAGGAAACGTGTGTGGCCCACAGGATGCTAGCAGAGTAATAGCCTCTCTTCCAGTTACTGGTAATGAGGGGTTTCTTCTGACTGCTGCTGCCCTGTGACTTAACTCCCTTAGTCTTGGAGGTCAAGTCCTGCAAAGCAGCTGTATTGTTGTGGAAATGCACCACGCAGGGGCCTGGTGCAAATGCCAGGCACTGCCTCTCTCTGCATGGATTAGCATCAAGGCCTGGGCAGGAATCCTTTGGGGGTGGGAGGAGTTCCCTCCTGCCATTTTTAATCAATATTGAAGTATGCAGTTGACAGAATTACCAGGCTGTCTCGAGACAAAGCCCTCTTTGCTTCTGGCTTTATTGCCGTGGCAGGGAGAGAGAGAAGACGTGCAACTCCACAGTTAAGATAAGAGTGGCAGAATGTGCTGGCAGGAAAAAATGAGTTGAATTGTCTTTTTAATGCACCATTTCAGCAGATCTGGAATAAGCATCAGTTGATTTCTGTGCCTTGAATACTGCTTCGATCCATAGGGCAGGACTACTGGTCCGTTCCATGAGCACCGGGGATTCCTCTTCCTATGCCTTTTAACTCAAAACCGTGTTGCCCCCTCTTCCCCCACAGCTTGTTTTAGACTCCCAGAAGCGCGTCTTCTCCTGGGGCTTTGGCGGGTATGGCCGGCTGGGCCATGCCGAGCAGAAGGATGAGATGGTGCCAAGGCTGGTCAAGCTCTTCGACTTCCCGGGGCGTGGGGCAGCTCAGATCTACGCTGGATATACCTGCTCCTTTGCTGTCAGCGAAACGGGTCAGTTGAGCCATCTTGGTGCTAAGACCCTCCTGGCATGAAGCTGTCATTCAGCCCAAAGCCTCTTGTCTATTTGGGATCCACCTCTCAGGGGCAGGCGTTGAGAACTCGCCTGCGTTTTCCCGGTATCTTTAAAACAACCTGGATTATGTTAGCCAGCCCCGTCTGCCTCATTGCTACAGATCTAAGCTGTTGACTTTCTTAAACCATCTCTTATTTTCTATCATATCCTTGAATGGTGATTCAAAAAGACTTCTGCGTTGGAGTCTCTCAAGTCTGACGTGGGTGCATGTGTTTGCTCTGTCTTGCAGGTGGCCTCTTTTTCTGGGGGGCCACAAACACGTCCCGCGAGTCGACCATGTACCCCAAAGCTGTGCAAGATCTCTGCGGCTGGAAAATCCGCAGCTTGGCCTGTGGGTAAGTGACGGCTCCGGTCGTAGGAGCCGGGGGGACAGAGAACCCTTCTCTGCTTTGGCTTGCCTGGATGGTATTAGCAGTGGTGTCGTTGCACACATCTCCACGTTCAAAGGGCCCTGCCAATAGGACAGTGGCCTGTTGCACACCTGGCGTGTAAGAAACCGCTCCTAGAATGAGACTAGCCTCCAGAAAGTTGAGTCGGTCATCTTGAGTTGAGTCTCGCTCTACTTGGCAGAGACTGGCAGTGCGGTTGAATATTTTTTTTCTGACTCTGCGTAAGGGGAAAAGCTGCTGGCTGTTCTCAAAAGCAAGAGAGGAGGGCAGGCAGCCTGGAGGCCTGGTTAAAGCAGGACGGGTGAGGAAATGGCCTGGGATACATGAGTGCTTGAATGAAAATAAAGCCCTGTTATTGCTCAGTGCCCCTTGTTGAGAGAGGTTCGGAGAGCCCATCGCAAGATGGCTGGAGTGTGGGGGTTGATGAAACTTGGACGGGAGAAGAAACTCAGGGTCACAAATCAAACCTGTCTAATGGTTTCTCAGTTAAATCAGCAAATTGTAACACCTCGTCTCTAAAGCTGGTTGTAGCTCTTCATCCTCACCTGTGGGCATCTGTGCTTTGAGGATGCTTAGTGGATTTAATAGCTACTTTGCTTGTATATAATGGGAGCTGTTGGAGCAGCTTGGGTATGAAAAGGTAGTAATTCTACCCCTCCACGCACCCTTCAGGAATCTTTTCCACTCCCTTCCCTCCACTAACCTCTCCACCCTCTCCTGGTATCTGGCCCCTTGTCTCACACCTCTTCTCTTTGTGTCCTCTCTCAAATTGCAGGCTCTTTAAAAGGTATTCCCCACCCTGTTTGGAAAGCCCTTTGTAAATAGACCGCAGCTGGTTTTGCTAGGATGCAACCCTGGAACCACACGCAAAAAGCTTGGATCTTTATGGTCTGACTTTAGGATTCCCTTCTCCCACTCCCCACCCAGCTACCTTTGTGCCTTTTTCTTTTGTTGCTAGAAGTAATGTCTGCTATAGCATTGTTATCTGAAGGAGCTTCCTAGGTGACTCACTCAAATCCCTGACAAAGGGGTGGTTGTGTTTGATAGACATGGTAAGGGAAACCCTTTAAAAAAAATCTAATAACATTGGTTTTTAATGCAACCTCTCCTTGATGTTCAGTGAACGGTTTCAGTGCTGTTCGGACAATAGTTGGTTACCAATGAATGACAAGGGTGATCTGTTTTTAAGCCTTGATCTTGCAATCTGATCTGTATGGATGGGCTCCTGAGTTCACTGGGTCTCTGCCGGGGTTCACATCCTCCAACATTTGGAAAGCAGGGACCACGGTGCAAGCCTTCAAAAACTAAAACTACTAAGGGCAGTTCTTTTCTGGTGCCATCTGACATGGGAAAGGCAGCGCAGGCTGGTTGGCTGCCAGGGGAGGACATGCAGACAGACCGTGTAGCAGTAACAGCTCATGTACCTGTTGCAGGAAGAGCAGTATTATTGTGGCTGCAGATGAGAGCACAATCAGCTGGGGTCCATCTCCAACCTTCGGTGAACTGGTAAGGACTTACTCAGAAACCCCAGCACCGCTGGCACAGTACCAGGGACATTAGATTACCAGCAGATTGCAAAGTTGCGGCTTTTTATTTTTAACCCAGACTTGCTGTAAGCCTGTGGTCTCGAAGCGACTGGGAAGGGAGTGTTCGACTGACATTTGTTTCATTTAATTTAGCTACAAGAGGGCTTCTTTTTTTTTTTTATCTGTAGCATGTGTTAAATGCTAAGTCCAGAAAATGCAATGATCAGATTCCTGTTATGCAAGAGGGGAAAAAAAGACCACCCAAACAAACCCTTCTGCACACCCATTGTGTGTGTACCTGCTCTCTCGGTATACTCTTCTCCCAAAGAAAATGGGTGAAATGCTCTTAGTCTGGAAGATGGGGAATTTGTGTGAGAGGCAAGTGTGGGTGCCCCCACTACAGATTTAATTGAGTGCTGCGCCCACGTCCAAGTGAGCTTCACAAAGAGCTGGAAAGGCTCAGCATTGCCTTCTGCCTCTGGGAGGTGAGTGACTTCATACTAATGCACCTTCTTGTGTCTAATTACTGAACATTTTATCTCACCACAAATGTTTGGACTCACAGTTAACAGTCCATTTATCGTGGTCCTTAAGAGCTATTAGACCATGAGGTGGTGTGACGCAGCCCACAGCAAAGAGCTATCTCGGATAGGCACCATTTTCTCCTGGAAATCCTAGCATTTTACTCGAGGCGTCTGTAAATTTTATGTTGGTCTCAAAACTGCTTTTTGATGCAACTTGTAGAATGATACTGCCCCAATCTGTCTCTCCTTAAATTGCTGCAACGTTTGATTACTCCTGTGAGCTTTTCCTGTGCTGCCTTGCTGTTTGCCGCCTCAAGGGCCCTAGCTGACTGTGGTGGAGCGGTAACGAGTCTTGGTTCCTCACAGTCTGGCCCGCAGGCTGCTTGCAAGTCCAACGGGTTTCTTTATATGCACATTTTTATTGCATTTCCCATGCATTCAGGTGGAGCAGTGTATTGGCTTGTTCGGTGTTGAATGAATAGATGTGTAAGACTCTGCAAGAAGACCAGTAACATTTGCAGAACTTCAGGGTCCAGAAGATTTTTTTTTTTTGTTGTTCTTCTTCTGGACTTTAGGAATTTTTGTTGGGTTTTGGGGGGGATTTTTTGGGGTTTTTTTAATTGCTCGTTCTTCCCAAGTCTCTGCTGGCCTTGCTTACAGGCAGTTCTGCCCACGAGAGTCACTCACCTCCATGCCTTTCCTTTCCACGGAGCTACACCAGAAGCCAGTGCAAATCACAGGAGCGAGCTATAAATAACACAGTCCAGGTCCTTGGAACATGGCAAGTCTGTGATTTTTTTTTTTTGATTTTTTTTATTTTTCCCGGGTGATCTGACAAGTGTCCCTCTGCATTTTGCTTTATCAGGGCTACGGGGACCATAAACCCAAGTCCTCTACTGCAGCTCAAGAGGTGAAAACCCTAGATGGGATTTACACAGAGCAGGTGAGAGGAGACCAGCCAATGCAAATGGTAGCGATTTGGGACTGCGGTGTGGGAGGCTTGCTTCAGATCTCCTGAGAGCCTTGTCCTGTTAAGAGTCTCGTTCCTCATTGTAACTTTGCATCGTGGGGGTTAGATTCCTGGGTAAGCCCCAGACATTGGGCTATGGGATTTTTTTTTTTTTGTATGCAAAAGACACCAGCAAGCGTGGGAGGGCACCCTGCCTACATGTCCCATGGATGCTGGAAGGCGCTGGTATGCAGAAGCTTCCCGAGATGACACGGCTCTGAGTGCTGTGTAGGAATAGAGCTGGTTCAGACAGAGTTGCTTCTGGATGGGGCGACGGGGATGAAGCTCAGCCTTCATCAGCAACGAATGAAGTCGCAATGGGGAATGAAAACCTCGCGGGGTAAAAGACAGGCGTCTTAACATCCATCAATCAACTCCTCTTAAACCAGCACATAAATAGACCAGACCCTGACACACTACCCCTCCTGGTGATATCTGAGCTGGACGACTCTATCTATTCTAATTGTCACCATGGCGCCTGCAATATAGTGTATTCGTCGTCTCCAGCTGCAAGCTTCCTATGAAAGGCAGACGATAGGGGTGGGACAGACAGTTTTCTGCTTGATGCTGGTCCTTGCACATTATTCCTCTCCTGATGCAGTTTTTGTGGGGGGGTTTTTAAGAAGCTGCGGATCAGAACAAATTAATTTAGGATTATTCTAATCCCTTGCTGTTATCTAGCACTTCGCAGCAATAGGACTCAGAACACATTACAAAGCCAGCCGGTAGCATGATCCCCATCTTTACACGGGGAAAGCTGAGGGACGGAGGGGGAAGGGGACCCGTCGGGGCAGTGGCAGAGCTGGGACGAGAGCCCAGGTCTGGGTGACTCTGGCGCAGCATCGAGCTGCCTCTCGGCTTGGAAACTTGTCCAGCTGACGGGGAGCAATGGAAACCTTGCATCATGCTTCGGGAGGCAAAATGCTGAATTAATTCTGTCTTGCTAGGTGGCCATGGGCTATGCCCACTCTCTGGTGATAGCCCGAGATGAAAACGAAGCGGAGAAAGAGAAGCTAAGGAAGCTGCCGGAGTACACCCCGCGCACCGTCTGACGAGGCCAGGGACCTGCGCGCTTACCGAGGCAGCTCTCCTTTCCGATGTGCACTGGGACGCAACGTTGTACGAAGAGATTACAGACCGACATCGAGACCAGACCGATGTGTTTTGTTAGACTTCCCGAGGTTCAGTTTTATAAGCGATTTCAGTTTTAACTACCTGTTACTGTAAGATTTAATTTTTTTTCCCAAAGTGGTTTTTTTTTTTTGTTTGTTTCTTTTAAATGTTTAAAATATTTGCTTGTCGCTCACAAGTTCCCATTCCGATGCAAATGGCAGGACCTTTTGGCATATATGTTAGTTAGACCACTTATTTTTGGCTAGCGGTAGAACAGTACCTGGCATGGGAGAAGGTCCAACGTGGTGCTTGTTGTATTTAACGGAGGAAAATCCCTGTTGTGAGCCAAGAGCTCAAGGGGTAGATTTTTCCCAAAGGCACAAATGCCACCTTACACCTCCCCACCAAGGGAAATTCAGCACCAAAAACCCAGCTGTGCCCACGGGAATCTACCCCCGAGGCTCTGGGACCACTTCTCTGGTGAACGGGGGAGACCCGAAAGTTGGCTTGAAGAGCGCGCTCTAGAAATAAGCTTCCACTTTCATTTTATTTTTTAAGATGGTGGCCTCCCTTGTATTTCCAGGGGGTTGCCGGAGAAAAAGAGTGTATAAATCACAGGACTGACTCCTGCCTGTTCTTGGCTTTCTCATTTCACCTATTGAAACAAGCACCCTTTTTGTGCTATCTGATTCTTCCGTCCCCTTCCCTACAAGTTTAAAACCCAGTTCGCCTGATTAAGACAACTGTGGGTCAACATTTTCAAAGGTGGCCCTGTGGTTTGGATGCCTTAATTTACAGGTACCCAACAGAGACGTGTTGGACCCGCTCTTCCTGAGGTGCTGAGACTTGGCGCCTCTGGCATATCAAGCTATGCAGGTGTCAGGTTGGCCACCACAACAAGCCAGGGTTTGCTTTTAAACACGATGTCACTAATGAGTTTCCCCGAGTGCGGATTCACGACAGGGTGAGGCTTTAACAGCAGCTTGCTGCCACATGGCTCAAGTCTCCAGAAATGAGTCCAGGTGAAGACCCCTCTTATAACCCCCTTGAATTTGGCAGCGAGGGGGGTGAAGTCTAGATTTAAACACTTTCTGGCTCCACAAGTGCAAAGTTGAACCCCTGCCCGCATCTTTGCAGTGTCCAGGCTTCGGGCAGCTGAGAAGTTAGTGTTAGTCGGCCCCTTTTTCCGTCGCAGCCTGCACTCCTTCCCCTTAAATTTCAACAAATCTTTTTTTCCAGAAGAGCTTCCACCGTTTTTGACCAGTACTTGCAGGGAGATCTCAATTTATCTTCACGGCTTTGGGGGTTATTGCCTCCTCCTGACTCGTGAACCCTGTCCATCCAGTCAAACCCAGTTCCTCCAGACTGGAGGTTGGGCAGGTTCGGGTCACTCTCTGCTGGTGTCGCTGGAGAAAACTCTGTCGACATCAATGTACATCGGTGCCGCTCCATCAGGAGGGCATCTCTGCGCTTGTCTTTTGTCCAGCTGTTGAAACCAATTGGCTTTTCTGGCAGAGATGCTAAGAGTCCATGGACAGCTCTCCCCAGGAATGGTGATCCGATATCTGCCAAAAGTTCCTCCTATGCCGATGCTCTGCGCTGTGCTGGAGAAACAAGGTGCCTTTTTGCAGAGCGCTCTGCTCTATCTCTCCACACACACACACACACACGAAGATGGTTTTTCCTTTCTCGTTGCACTGATTTCTAGAGGCAACATTTTGCTGACATGCTGTTACGTGGCGGTTCTGGGATTCTTGCAGTACTTATTGAAAGTTTTTTTTTTTTTTTCAATTTTTATTTTTCATTGCATTGTGTTAAGAGTTTAAAAACTCCTCGAACATGGAGAGCAGCCGGATGGAAAAGTCCCGCAGTTGGATCTTTGCGCTGTTCTAACTTTTAGCTGTCGGCCTTCCCCACTTGCAAGATCAGTGGCCTCCGTCTTGTCCATAAAAAGATCTTTCCACCCTCTTCTTCTGCAGTTAGTCGCTTAGTTTTAATAGGAGTCTTTAAATTGACTTCAATAGAGATCAGACTTGGGGGGGAAAATTCCTTGAGAGGTGGGATAGTCCTCGATATACCAATTATCTAGTCACCTGCCTGGTCTCCAGATGGTCAGGGTTGAACGGTAGCATCAGAAGACCAAGGAAATGGAAGTGACCCTTTTTTATACCAGGAGCATGTGTGTGCAGCTGTTCTACCACGTTCAATCCTAAATCTTTCCATAATGCACAACTTATGTTGAGTAGCTGATCTGAGGCATCTAGAATTTATCATGCTTCGGGTTGTATTTTTTTTGGCTTTCTAATATCTTCCAGAAGCACCGAGTTCCTGCACTTCCACTTGAAAAATTAGTGTCTCGGTCATTTAGCACATCATCAAACGGGGCGCTCATGTCTCGCATGGGACGGCCCAGGTCAGAAGGCCTAAAAGAAAAAAGCTGAGAGAGATTTCTTCTGAGAGTTTGCTGAACTCCAGACTCGCCTAAGCCTGTTCGCCAAGTTACAGTTAGGACCCGTCTTGTCACTTTATTTTTTCTCTCTCCGGTTTGTAGTGGGGAAATGCATGAACTCCAGAGTAAGCATCTCCTGGCAGACTCTGCGGTTCACGCTGGGGGCCGTTCCCGGATGTCTGACCGGAGTGGATGGAGGTTTTGCCTTGTAACCTCGTGACAAAATAGCAAACTTCAGCACTGGGATTTGTAACTCTGGCCTTTCTGGGACTAGGTGACTGCAGGTGTTAGAAGCTGAGTTTCACCTAAAGTATAGTAGGTGTGGGCTTGTTTAGTCCTTTTCTCTAACCATCAAAATCCATCCGGGAGATGGTTTGGAGAAAATAGCAAAACATAAAATTGCCCCCCAAATTGCAAACCCAAAGGGAGCCGTCCCTTTGAATGCAATCCTGGGCTCATTACAAGTTAAACGATACTTAGGTCCTCATTAACTTTTCCCCCTCAGCTGCCTTCTCCTTGTTCTGACAGTGTGAAAGTGAAGGAGGGCCTCAGAAAAAGGGTCTTGGAACAATTTTTTTTAATTTTAGACAAGATGAAAGGTTCCTGGTTTAGTGCTGTAATTGTCTTCTCATGTTTTTTATATTTCTTGGAGTAAATGTTTAAATAAACGACGTCATTGTGTACACCCCTCGGCTTTCTGGTCTCTGAGCACAAGCTGGACCTGTGCTCTGCATTCGTGCGATGGGCTTGTCGCCTTTGCTCTCCTAAGTGAGCTTACCATGCGTGCTGGGTCTTTGGAGACTGCTGTTCTTGGGGCTCAGTCGCTGTGATATGGGGAGGTTCTGCATTTGCAGGGTTATTTATCCTGAAATGGATGGGGAGGGTTTTTTGGGGGCGGGGGTTGCCACCTTGCTCTCAACCCCACTTAAAATTAAAACTTTGCTCCTTGGTTCAACTACGGCTCCTAAGAAACGGTGTCTTTAAAAAAAATCAAATCGGTGTTGTCAGATTTGAGGGAGAATCAGGAATGCATCCAAAAAGGGGATTCCACGAACTTGACTGTGAATCTCACCCGCTTACCCTTTGCATTGCAAGAGGTGACTGTATAAATGGGATTGCCTGCTTGTATCGGTGATTTCCACATCCACCTAGCTCGGTATGCAAGGGGGAAGCGGAGGTTGCAGGGTAATTGCCATCCCTGCAAACTCGGACTCTGAGAGGCAAACTGGGTCTTCCCTGTCCTAAGCCCTGTAGTCTGACGAGTTGCATTTCCTCCTTTTTAAGGGATGATACCTAAAGCAGAGCAGCACTACCTTCTCTCGGGCCCCATTCACACGAGAACATGCGTCTAGTGAAACATGCTGCTTTTTCCACTTAATACCCCTGCACTTTCTCCTGGACCCCACAAATCAGACTTGTTCCAGGTAGAAAACATGGTGAGTGCAGCCGACCAGAGATGGCTTTTTATGCAGGGAAACTAGGGTGTAAAAAATTAAGTGCTATTTATGCACAGCTTAAAAACAAATGCCTGGATTTAACCCTTGGGAGTGATACTGCCATCTGCATGGCGGGGGACTCTTCAGTGCTATTGCACATTGTAAGAAGCTCAAGGGAATGACTTTAGATGCATCCCTGTGACCCAGTGTGTTCCCCAACAGCCTGCTACAGCACTTCCCTATGGAGGCTTCATTAAAATAGCACTTGAGCAGTCAAGATGCTGCAAACAATTCCCTTTCCAGACTCTTCCCACCTCTCAGTTTTAGGATTATGAAGTTATAGTTTCAGAGTAGTTTCATAGTTTCTAGGGTCCGAAGGGACCTGAACAGATCATCAAGTCCAACCCCCCCGCCCTGGGCAGCAGCGAGTGCTGGGACCATAATACCCCAGCCAGATATCTATCCAACCTCCTCTTGAAGACCCCCAAGGTAGGGGAGAGCACAGATCATGGTATGGCTTCAGATTAACAATATCCATCATGTAATTTCCTCCTCTTAAAAATTACAAAATATCTAAGGGCTCTGAACATTTGCACTCGGGATTAGGGTTGGGTATTTGACTGATCAGATATCAGTGAAGAACTGTAAAATAAATAAATAAAAAAAGGAAAAAAAAGAAAAGAAATCGCCAATAGGTCCAAATAATACACAGGAAAAAGCACAGATTTTCTATTAAGAAATGTGCCAAAAACAAAAAAATCATGTTGCTGTCAAGAAAGCTACAAAAAAAGTAGGGGTTTTTTTGTTTGTTTGTGTTTTGTTGGGGTTTTTTTTTTTTGTAAAATTGCTATAATCTTTGGTCAAAAAATATGCAGTCAAGAACCGACCCCCCCCCCCCAACCACCCTTGCTGACTTCCTGGGCCTGGAGCAGGCTGGACCCAATGATCTCGTGAGGTCCCTTCCAGCCCTGATGTCTATGAACTGACCAGTCCATTAACAATATTTGTCCGGCTTGCCAGCCCTACTTGGGGTACAAGCCCAGCACCTCGGGAAAAGGAAGGAAAAGTTCCTTGCAGCCACATGATGATTGAGATTTCCCATTGCAGGGATTCATACCTCCACCTGGGAATCATTTGTTTCTGGCTTGTGTTTCAGGCAGGCTCCTGGTCTTAGATGCACTGGCCCAGCCTGGTAGCTCCTGTGGGCCTATTGCAGCACCATCTGTAGAAGGCTTAGTGTCGTCAGAGAGCCGGTTTTCTCAGGGTGATGTGAGTGATCGTGATGCTCAAGATGGAGAAGAGGGTTGCTGCATCACTGAGACACTTAAGCATGGCTTGTGCTTGCATGTCTTGGAGGTGTGCACCCCGTAAGCCATAGGAAGCTGCTTGGATCCGGTGGTGGGCCAAGCAGCTGACCCAATGCACCCTGCGGTGCAAGGGAGGATGGCAGCTGGCATGAAATGCTGGCAGGGGACAAGCCACTCCTGGGAGCTTGCTGCTTCTGGAGGCAGCTCCAGCTCGCAGCAGGACTGTGGTGGGGATGGATCAGATGGAGAAGGAGAAAAGTCAGTGGGACAGAAATGAACTTTCCAGGCTGATGAGAGAGGGAGGAGAGACGAGGGAGGTATGCCCTGGCTGCACTGCAACTTGGATTGACTGGGCTGGATGAATCTCCCTAAAGCCCGCACACGTCCAGCTTCAACATGGGACGAACCAGAGCCTGCTCCTCCTGCTTGCAGCCCAGGGTGAGCCCCACATGCCATCTGCCATCAGAGGGCAGCAGTGCATCATCACCAGCATCTTTCCTCTCCCAGGCATAGGGAGTCTAGCTTGCTAAGAACTTTTTTCCAACTAAGTTGCTCTAATAAAAGAGATCACGTTAACCCAAAGACCCTGGCCTGCCTGTGTCCTTAGACCAACACGGCTACAATCAAACCCCAGTTTCCTCTCCCAGGTCTCTTCCAAAATGCATGTGGGAGGGAGGGAGTCTTTCCTCCTGTTGATGCAAATCGGGATTCACCAGCTGAAGGATCAAAAGGAGCGTCCAAGGGGAATCCAGTCCAGGGCAATTGCTGTTCGTGTTGCACAGCCCTGCAGAAGCGGCGGCACTGGGAAATCCATCCAAGGCATCCTGTGCTGTTTTCTGGACGCTTTCAAGGACCGGTAGCTCTTATATTAAATCCCTTATTCTTGCCAAGCACAACCAGAGAACAAGAGGGCTTAATTATGCACAGTCCCCTCTGCTACCCCATCCCAGTGCTCGGTGAAGATGAGTTGTGCTATATGGGAAAGGTCCTGATCGTCACTAGGACTGACCTGTCGGCCGGCTGGCACAGGTAAGAGCACCCCTCTCTCCCCTTGGCAAAGGCAAGGAAGTTGAGCTGCGATGTTGTAAGGAGGGGGAGGTTGACTAGTATCTATGGATTGGCAGTGAAAAGTGTTTGCTTTTCAAAGCTTAAGTGCACGGTGAAGTGAGAGCTCTCAGACTTAACATAATACTTCTCGGGGGTCAGCTGCCAGCAGCTCGGCGCTCTTCTGGCCAAACAGATTTCCACCCCCTAGACTCAAGTCTGCGGTTGAGATATAGCCGTGCCAGGCCTCCAAGTTGGGAAAAGCAGCAACATTTATTTGTCACCATCAAAACCGTCAGCAGCAGCCCTAAGGACCAAGAGTTCTTCATGATAAAAAAAGATTTTTAAATCTTCATATTTGTGCTAAGACCAAGCTTGAACAATTGCAGCTCTTAAAGGCCATTCACGGAGCAGCGAGGGTGAAAAACGGGTGCTGACATCAGGGCTCCCCTGAACGCACCTTTTGGTAGCAGAAGTGTGGGCTTGCGGTATGGGCCCGTTTCAAGCAATTCGGCTGTTTTGCAAAAGCTAAAAAAAAGTGGGGGGAGGGAATGAGGGAGGCAAGAAGTTGCTGGTAGTAAGGTCACTGGCTTGGCATGTGGGAGACGTGGTTTTAAGCTGTGCTGAATCTGCGTGATTTGAAATGAAAACCTGCTTTGAATCGGACAACGGCACTGAGCCTGCATCTTCCTCATCCCAGGCCAGTAGCTTAACCACTCGGTGGAAGAGTGTAGGGGCACCTGGTGGCCCTACTTTTGTGACATATTTTGGTTTCGCTCCAATCCGTAGCAAGACGACGACTTGAGAGTTGCAACAAAATGGAAAGAAAATCCCCCGGTTGGATGGCTGAACCGGGACACGACATTTTATTTTGTTTCCAAGTCTGGCCTGTTGCCTGTGAGACTTGGGAACTTGCTAAGACGCAGATCCTCAAAAGCCATGAGCCAAGGGCACCTCGACAGCTTTGAGAACCTGAGCCTCAGTTTCCTCATCAGTAAAATGGGGCTAATAACGCTTTTCTATTTTGCATATGAGTATAAATACAAGTAAGCTATTCTGATACTATGCTGCAACCGAGGCACTGAATTAGTGATAATAAATGAGATCACACCGGATTTTAAAGATCTCATGAGTTTCCATGGCAAGACAAACTGGTGGGAGGTAGTCAATCTAGGAAGGGGACAATCGGGCAGCTGGCTGGGAGTGATGTCAGGGGCCCGACGTGTGCAGCACGGTTGGGATGAAAGGCAGCGGGCTCAGGAGTAGCTGGGGCTTTCGCAGCAGGGTCTGTAACCCTTGGGCTCCCGTAGAAAGTGGTATTTTTTTACTATAGGTACAAATCCGGCACTGGGTGAAGCAAACTCTTGGAAAATGTGAGTTGATCTTCCGCTCCCTTGTAAAGTGCTGAGAAGCAGGTCAGCATTTAATGCCCCCTGCTCAGGGGATCACGTGCCACCACTTGAAGGAGAAGGGTTTACGGAGGACGTTGGTGCCACAGTGGACTTCCCCGAGCAGCTTGTGGTAGGTGAAATAGTCATTGATGAAGGTGCAGGTCAGGCCCAGCGGCTCCAGCAAGGAGCGGACCTTCTTTTCCAGGCAGCACTGCCCGTTGATGATAGGTCCGAAAGGCTTGGGGATGCCCAGGTCCTTCCCCAAGACAATCATGTTCACCTGCAGCCAGGAGAGACAGGGAAAGGATGAACATGCACCTCGACATGATCGCTGAGCAGGTCATAAGCAATGGTATATGTATAACTATTGTACTGGAAGAGAGACGAGGCTCCCTGTACCAACAATGCCTGCAAGGACATCCAGCCTGCTGCAGTTCATCCGTCTCTGGTCCACCAGGCAGCAAACACCCTGGGGTTTGGCTTGAACTACTCACTAGGACTGGGATTTTTTTAAAGCCTAGCATATCGTCTCCTTGGAAAAGGTAATGTCAGGGAAGCAATGCATTTTAGTTGTTAAATTACAACTCAGCAGCTGAGAGCAGCAACCAAGGCAGTTTTTACTGTTCCTAAATGATGCAAAATAGGTTTTGGTCGCCTGGTCTTGCCTGAGCCAGTTAGATTGGGCTTTGTCGTCAAGTAGAGGATACTATCGCCGTTCTTATGGAAAATAGACTACAGGGAGTGGAAACTGAGGATCTAGTCGTCTACTGAGACCTTGGAGAGAAGATAATTTTGCTGTGCTGAGATAGGAGGCACCACTCTTCACGGGTGGGTTGTACAGCACCACTTAGGATCCAGTTTTAATTGTCACATCATTCTCAAACCAGCTTACTAGTGTGGTGCCTAGCAGCCAAGGTTTAGGGCCTCAGTGTCCCTATCTGTAAAATGGGAGTGATTATAATGAGGTGGAGAGCACTGAAAGCTACCAATGAAAAGCAAGACATCAGAGGCAGGTATTATTTCTTAAAGCAATGGACAGCTAAGTGTTGAAAGATCACAAGCCCCCCTTTCCTTAAAACAAAGCCATCATAAACAGTTATATAACTTTATGATGGCTTTGTTTTTTATATATATATATATAAAAAAATTGTGTGCGTGTGTTTTAAATAAATACGATTCGCTCCTCACTCTTGTGTGTGTATATGTGTGTTTTAAATAAATACGATTTGCTCCTCACTTGTAAGCTATAATGGTGCTTCTGATTTGCTAGTTTGCCTCCACAGACATAAGAGCTAGAGACATTAAGTGCAAGCAGATATTCCTGGGGTGCTCACTTGACTCCAGGAGCTGAGTCTTTACAAAAGACAATTGGAGTATTGCAAGAATGGAATAAAAAATCATGAGATTTGGCAGCACGGTTAAAGGGGATATCTGCTGAGGCCGGGACCTGTCTGGGAAGATGGGCTCCCCGTTGCAATAAAGAGGAATTTTGTCTTCGGCAAAGTTTAATCTTTTTTTTTTTTTTTTCTTCAGTGGCCAGTCCTCAAAGGAGACCCCAGCCCTCAGTTTCCTTACCATGTCTGGGAAATAGGCCTCGGCTTGCTTGTCCTTCATATTGAAGAGCTGTGGAATATCAATGATGTCCTTCGGACTCAGGCCGAGCTCCTGTTTCAGGATGTCCCTGTTCCAGTCGATACAACTCTGCAGAAGGGAGGGAGGAATTAGAGGGGAGAGAAACTGCACCTTTTCTAGACAGCCCTAGGACAAGCAAGATCAGCGAAGGCGTATTGTGGAATAACCCCCATTGGACGTTTTTAAGTGCAGGTTAGACGCATGGGGTTTCGAGACAGAGCGTCCTGCCTTGAACAGAGCTGGGACCATAGAGATGCTGCAGAGACACCTCTCCTGCCCTCAGCAAATGACCCATTTTCACTTAACATCTTATTTCTCTGGGAGTACAGCATAGGTGCGTCTTGATTCACAACAAGCCCATTTCCATGACAAAGCCCCCCAAATCACAAGTCCGATTTGGAGTTTCACTGCATGTATTTCAAATAACGGAGATCTCCCTCTAGTCCACAACAGTCTCCATCTGCTTTCAGTCTGGTAGCAGCCTTGCTGACGGCTTCCCCCACGTTTGTCTCATGTCTGTACCTGAAAGTAATCATTTTCCTTCCTGAGGGTTTCATCGGCCAGAATTTCTTCTATAGTTTTCTTGGGAACTTTCTCTTGGCCTGCAATCAAAGGGGAAGAATCACCCAAGAAGAAATGAATGAGAAGTCAGGCACTAAAACGTATAACTTGTGCACAACTTAAACAAGAGGGTCTGTAACCTTTGTGGTTGGGGAACCTATAACTCACACTCAGGGGTTGACATGCACAAAGTTTTCCCTGGGGATGTCCAACAAAATAAATACCTCAATTTTTATTCACTTTTGTCCAGTTTTAGCTCCCAGCCCCCCCGCCCTTTCCCACAAGGACTGTGGGGAACTAAAGGTTTTGTTCAAGTTTGATTTTCTGGAGAAAATGTTCCTATTCCAATGTTGAGCAGAATCCAATTTTCTATCCAGACTGGTTTATAGCCAGCCACACACAACCCCTCTGTGCCCATTACACAGCATCGCGATACAGCCCTGCTCACAAAAGCTTGAAATCTTTAGGTGGTTTATCATCGTACGTGAAGCTGCACCATCCTACCCTCAAACATCTGGGCCTTTCCATGGCCCTCTTCTTGCTTTTCTTTGAGGAGCTTGTAACAGGCGCTGGGGCTGGCTAAGAGGAGCCGAAATCCCTGCCAAAAGAGAGAAGTCAGTTCAGTGTCAGATCTGGCTCAGATTCCCCTGTCTGAACCCTCACTTGCCATCCTTTTGCAAATCATCATGTGTACAAACAAGTGCCCCAGATTAGCACCCTATTCCACACGTGCTCTGGAGCAACTGGAGTGCTAGCAGTAGGGAAATTTGGTTTGAAAACAAAGGGAAATTCCCACTTCGACACAGGTTTGTCCACCTATACTGCAAGGTCTTAGGTGTAAAGCACAAGGGATGCTGGAGAGTCATGCTCCAGTACTTTGAAGGGGGAAAGGGAAGCAGGAACTCTAGGGTTGTAGTAGCAAATTGACCAGTGATTTTTTTTTTTCCTGTGATCTGTGAGGCTGAAGAATAACGCATTGCATTTGGAAGCAGGCCTAAGGCTATCCTAGCTGGGAAGCTGCTCCATTAAATGATATCACAAATTGGAGAGAGTCCAACGGGGGGGCAATGAAAATGGTTGTGGGGCTGGGGCACACGACTGGTGAGGAGAGGCTGAGGGAACTGGCTTTGTGTTCCCTGTACCCCTCGAGTGGTCAGCAGAGTTCAAAGCTTTGTCCGGTAGCTCTCCCTTGCCCTTGCATTTAGAGAAAAAACACCCAGCCCATGCTTGGATAGATACCCTACCCCCAGACGAAGAGCCCGGGTGCTGCAAGGCTCACAGAGCTTCGGGAGGTTAAAGCCCAGCCACATCGTAGGCTGCCTGGGGCCTGGCATGGTCCCGATGCAGGCTTACAGAGAGGGTGTGGAGGCTGGGGTACCAGTACCTGTCTGTCGTGGGCCGGGACAAAGCTCAGGAACTCATCCACGTGCCCCACGGAGAGCCAGTCTGTGAAGAGCTCCACCGGGGCCTGCACCCTCTGGGCGTAGAGGAAGTCCCTGACAACCTTGGTCATCCTCCTGCCGCCAACCCTAGCCACCAAAGGGAAGAAGCAAATGCAAACTCTGGTTAGTGACGGTCTATGTGCAAGGCAGATGGAGCCGAACTCAGGCGCTAGGACCCCTGCTCCTGCAAGGAAAGGAATTGCAAGGTCCTGGAGAGACCTGGCTGGGATCCTGGGCACCTTCCCTCAGCACAGGTGAGCAGCCTGATGATGACTGAAGCTGCAACAGGTGCATGGAAGAGCTGATTAGGAGGATGAGGGGAATAGAGAGCCCAAGGCAGCCTGGTTAGTTTAGCCTAGCAAAGCAAACCCTGGGAGGGGAGAGGACTGCTGTTTGCAAATACCCTCTGGGGAGCTAGAATTGCTCCTGAAGCTAAAGGGGAAATGGGGATCAGCTGGCCATTGATAAAAGCAGGCTGGAGATGAGAGGGCTTCTGGCCCTTCAAACAGGGAGGTTCTGGAGCAACCTCCACAAGTCCAATCTCAAGATGAGACTTGATCAGCTTATGAAATGCTGCTCATTTGCAGGTGCCTGCAATGCCAGGACACTGGCTTTGAAGACCTAGGAGGTCCCTTCTAGCCCCCACATCTGCACAGCACCTTGAACCCATGCCCCAAGTGTAAATGGTGCAGAAAACTCTTTCCAAGTCTGCAGACTGCCTGGGGTGGTAGCGCAGGGCAGCCATCTGCTCCAGGCATCTCACACCACCACGGCTGCTCTGAGATCTGATGAGCACCTCTGCAAGGGACGGCCCCTGGGTGTGCCAGGAGAAGGACGGTGCAGCAGGTCTGCTTTACCCGGGTACCCGGCAGCTCCTGGGGGCAGTCCTGCCTGCCTCGGGAAGGGGAGGGATGCTGCATGCCTGTGCAAATATAAGGGCTGCATCTTTCAGCCCCATGCTCCTCTCAGCTAATCGGAGTGGCCAGGTGGATGTGGCTCCAGTCACTGGGGTAAGAGTTGCTGGAGGAGCAGGTGGGGAGGCTGCACTTGTCCCCTCAAATACAGACCAGAGGTGACAGATGGTGTAAAAGCAGGGCACAGTGAGGATCCTGCCCTGCTGCCTTCACCTGGCACCAGCTAGTTTATAGCTGAAGGAACTGCATATGAGGGACAGGAGTGCGGCTTGTGCCTGTGGCCTCAGGCCTCATAAATAAGTTCAAAAGAGGTAATCCTGTGGGGCGGGAGCCTGCAGCACTGTAGAAATGAGTCTGAGATAAGCTGCACTTTAGTTGTTGAGTGTTGTTAACAGTTTGGGGGGAGCCTGGGAGCTGCCGATGTCCACAGAGAGGGGGCCTGAGGAGCTGCTCCGGAGGGATGGGACAGGTGTGCGACTTCCAAAGGACGTGGACAGGTCCATGTCCCAGGATAGGTGTGCGACTTGTGAAAGACGTGGCTGAAAGGCCAGGTACCCCCCTCGGGGAACCTGAGAGCAATGGTAAAAGTGGCTCTCTGAGATGCTGAGCTGCTCTGTGGCACCGCCATGCAGAGTTCAAGCATCAGTAAATGATGCTGACGATCGATGCTTCTGCCCCCAGTGTTTGCACTGATAAATTGCATTTGCACAGAGAGAAAAAAGTAATGCAGGTATCAGTGCTAGATTGGTCCGCAAAGGGCTGAGCCTTGACATCCTTACTTGAACGCATGCTTTTCAGCTCATCAGGTGCTTCCCAATAGCTGTCGCGGATACTGGTTACAGGACATCAAATAAGGGCTGTCTGCTAAGAGGTGGATTAGGTGGCTCAATTAAGTGAGAATACTCTGTGGCAGTATCTGTGTATAAAGGTGGTGCAGGTACTTTTGCAAGCTGTTGAGGAAAGGAGCATCTTGTTGCTTAGCACCATGGGGCTCTGGTACAGAGCTGAGCTCCTAGATGCTCACAGAAGGCAGTTTTTGGAAGTATTAAGTGTTCCACTATAGCACTAGATATAGGAAAGAATATTATTTACAGCTGAATGAGCAATTTGGTACTCTCTAGGGTTATATTGGTAGGTTATATTGCTTCCTATAAGCAATATAATAGGTTGTACTGCATCTCTGTACACTGAGGATCTACAGCTCCCTCTGCACTGATGCACCTTTCCGCACTAAAGCAAGTGAAACTTTGTCCCATTGCCACATCCACGCCCGCAGTGTGCGGCTGGAGGGAGAGGTTGGCACCACCATTCAAAATTGCCCTCACTCCTCTCACCTGGGGAAGCTGCTTCCAATAAGAATCCTCCCCAAGGGATATTCCTTCCCTTTGACCTTCACGGGAGGGCTGACTTCAAGGTTTCCAAAGGAGTCGAGGCTGGAAATTCCTCTGTTCAGAGGTTCACGAGTCACGTAGCCAAAATCGGGGCCCTTGCAGGGAAAAAGACTTAATTAGTTCCTCTGCCCCCTTCCTAAGACAACAGCGACATTAGATCACCAATTTGCTGCCCTCCAAGCAGGACTTGTGGTGCCAAGGTCTTGAGCCGGCATTGCTCCTTAGGGATACATTTCATCAGGCCAAAGCAGAAGCGGTTGCAATGCCAGGCATCTGGTTTGGGTGCTAAATGTGCAGTCCAGCGCGGCTATGTCAGACGCACCATAGCACAGAGGGCAGTGGGGTGGACTTGGAGATGGGACGAGCGCAGGTGAGGGAGTTTTCTAAAGAAAATCAGCTCTGAGCACCTGCCTGCATCGAGCAGCATTCGAGTCTAGAGTTAATTGCAGAGCCTTCAAAGCCACCGGATGCATCTCTAGATGTCAGGAAGCTGCCAGCGATGTTCAGGGCTGAAAGCAATAGGCAAGTCACCTACCAAGATGCTCTGGATGGGGAAGTCCTTCAGCTCCCTGTTTCTGGGAGAGTCGAAGACCACAGGGAATGTCTTATGGGGAGCCTGCACGTAGCCAAATTCCATCTCGTCCTACCAGAGAGGACCAAAAATACTATATAAGCCAGCTAGCCAATACAGGACCTGAGCCAAACCCCACTCCCTTTGATTTCACTGGGCTTTGGACTTTCCCCTTTGT